AGCAAAATGTTTTTGCATGCTGCACTCTGGCACCCATGCCAGGGGTTGCCTACTCCTGATATAGTCTATCCAACAACAGCAGAATACAGAATGCATAAACAGTCCAGAAAACTAGGTCCGTCCTCCCCCATCACATAGTCAAGGTCCTTTATCTTGCTTTTCTCTGCCCCCAGGATCCATGTATTCTTTCTTCTTCATGATTAGGGCATCGCTGGGGAAATTTGGATTTGAACCTCTGAAAACTGAAAGAATAGAGTGGTATAAAGGGCAGAAAACTGTTGTATAACTCCAATAGATACTGGATCATTTGAAATGAGAAATAGTGAAGTCAATGAAAAAAATCAAGAGGTATCAACCAGTCATGTTTTAAGATAGGTAAAGTATATAGGAAGTCTACTTTATGAAACAGAACTGATAGTGGTGAAATTATGTGATGGGGTACAGAGATAGGAGGCACCAGACACACGGGTAGAACTATGCAATGTAAGCTACAACTTTGACTGCTTTAAAATCAGGGGCTAAATTCTGCTGTCAGGGGCCAGTCATGTTGATTGTAACTGCAGTTGTATTCACATGACCAAGCACAAGATGAACCAAGAAAATATGATTTGGAACGGTTTCTTGAAAGGAACTGGAAAGTCAAGAAAATGGGTTTGGGAATCCTGCAAAAAAAGGGAAAGGCTTTTTGTATGTTTGTGGGCATGTCTACATGAGACGTTTACTGTGCATTTGCCTAGTTAACTGTGCAGTAAATGTCTCAGCATCTACATTCATGCCCCTATTAGGGTGCACAAAACTAATAAAATCTGCAGTCCTATTTACAAGTCCTACCCAGCTGCGAAGTTTTTTTGTGTGCAGCAGCAAATGTGTAGACGCTCAGCCGGCTGTGAGAGTGCTTCAGTGTGGGCGCTGCCTGCCCACTGCCATACGCTGAAGCACCCTCGTGCCCCAGCCAGCCCCTCCACAACACATTGAGCCCTGTTGGAACACCCTGGCCTGGGAGACTAACACCTGCCCCTCTCCACCCCCCAAACCTCTCCCAACTAGGGCTGCTGCAATACTGGCACAGGTATAAACCATGCACCGGGAGCTTCCCAGGATCAGTAAACTGCAGACCAATAAGCTCTGCAGTTTATTGCTGCCTGTTAATGGCATGGGTAGATGCTCTTTGTGAGAGGGAGAAAGCAAAGAACAGTAAGTATTCTACCATGTGGAGCTTACAGACCAGGAAGTGGAGAGGAGTAAAGTGGAATTTGTCAAGAGACAAAATGAAGTCAAGGAAGATTATACAAGTGTATAATACTAGATTAAGAGATCTGAATTGTATTGATTTTTAATAACATTTTATTTACACTATGGGTGGAAATCCTGATCCTCCCTGAGATATGATGCAAATGAAGCACCCTGCAGTGAAATTCAGTTGTTTACTTAATCATCCAAAAGGGCCCTGGAGAACAGAAAAAGGAAGGTGCAGAAAAAGAAAGGGACTTGTCCTCTTATTATTGCTCCAGTCTTAGTCGTTGGCAAATGAAACCTGGTTTGTGTTGCAACAAGTAGACCTGACCTGTCCATCATCTCTCTCTCCTTACCACCCACGATGACTAAGAGAGAAAAGTGAAGCAAACACAGTGGGTGGAGGGGTGTGGTGCAAAGAAACTAGTGTCCAGAAACACCCAAAAGGCAGGTAGCACCAGAGAAAGCTGAGGTAGCAGAGACAGAAAACAACTTCCCTCGTTTCTGACATTAGCCTCAGTGCACCACAAAGAAAATGGATTCTTCTCTGTAATTATCATTGAGGCTGGGGAAATAAGAATGAGGGGAATAATATAAATGTATAATCAGACTTTAGGGCGTTATGCAATGCTGCAGAAAGCATCTTATATGGAGGCCCACTTACAACAGATTGGTATCACAATGCAGTAGAAATATAGGGTTGTCTAGAAATGTCAACGGGACAGAACCACATTCCCAAAGCGACTTTCCTGACTCTACTACTTGACAGCTTTTCCAGGAGGGGGCTAGGTTGTAGCTGGGCCCTAAACAGGGGTTTTCCTTGGTTGACATGAATCCTTATACATATTATAGTGTGTGTTTGTGTGTCTGCATGTGCATGCATGCATATGTGCACACACACGATGTGAAATATATATAATACCTGTATGATACATAATATGCATTACATAGAGGAATATGCTATATATATATTGTATAATATTGATATGTTATTTCTTATAAATATAGTGTATATACAAACACCTATGTGAATTTTTCTTGTGGAGGTAGAAATGGCAAGAACAGACAGGATAAATGTATCACACACATGTACATACACATATGGCTGCCATGGTTCCCCTGCTTTACCTGTGGCAAGCTAAGGTGTTAGGTCTGTGTTGTGTCAGGGTTGATGGTAGCCTTATGTAGAGTTTAGATTATGGTTGTATGGGATGGTCTGGATAGGGGTAATGCTTCCTCAGGCAGGGAGTTGGACTAGACTAGATGATCTCTGGAGGTCCCTTCCAGCCTTACTTGTCTATGATTTTATACAGATATATACACCACATAATATATACAATCACATTAAGTTTGCTAACATATTTAACAATGGCAGCTAATGCCAGTACTATTCATGATTTATGTAAACAAAACACTTCTGCCTACCTGAGTTTTAAAAAAAATTCCATATTAACTTAATATATACATTTTATCCACAAATCCATTAAACCAATTTTGTGTCTGTGCACACACAAATATGTAAAAGGATGTAAATAGGATGCATAATATAGGGCATGTGTAATACATGTTATGCAGAGAAATATGCTGTATGTTAATACTATAGCATAGTAATATGAAATTTATTAAAAGAATAGTGTGTGAGCGTGATTTGAGTGTGAGACTGTGTAACTGAATGTGTGTGACTGTGTACGTTTGAGTGTCTGACTAAACGTGTGCGTGGCAGTGTGTGTCTATGAGAGTGTGTGTCTGACTGTGGGTTTGACTTCAAATGTGTATGACTATATAAGTGTGTCTATGAGAGTGTAACTATGTGACTGCATGTGACTGTGTCTAGGAGAGTGTGTGTGTGTGCGTGTGCATGTGTGTGTGACTGTAAACGTGGGTATGTGACTGCAGGAATGTATTTGGTAGCCGTGTTGATCTGAGACAAAAAGAAATGCAAAACTCTAGCACTGTTGGTTCAGAGATGATCCTTTATTAGACCAACTAAGAACCTTCTTTCTCAGAACCGACTAACAACTTAGCTGATTTAATGAAAGGGATCATCTCTGAACCACGAGTTGTAGAGTTTTGCATTTCTTGTGTGTGACTGTGTGTGTCTAGGAGTGCATGCGTGTGTCTGTCCAGGAGTGCATGTGTGCGTGCATGTGTGCATATGTCTAGCAGTGCGTGTGTCCAGGAGTGCATGTGCGCATGCATGTGTGCGTGTGTCTAGGAGTGCATGTGTGCGTGCATGTGTCTAGTAGTGCATGTGTGTGTGTAGGAGTGTGTGTGTGTCCAGGACTGCGTGCGTGCATGCATGTGTCTAGGAGTGCGTATGTGTGTGTAGGAGTGTGTGTGTGTCCAGGACTGCGTGCGTGCATGCATGTGTCTAGGAGTGCGTGTGTGTGTGTAGGAGTGTGTGTGTGTCCAGGACTGCGTGCGTGCATGCATGTGTCTAGTAGTGCATGTGTGTGTGTAGGAGTGTGTGTGTGTCCAGGACTGCGTGCGTGCATGCATGTGTCTAGGAGTGCGTGTGTGTGTAGGCGTGAGTGAGTGTGACTGTCTCAGAGTGCGTGCGTGACTGTGCACGTGCGGGTGTGAGTGAGTGTGCCTGTGTGCACGCTCTCGTGTGACCCGCTGGCGTGGGGGCAGCCGGGGCGAGCCCGCGGCGCGTGGCGCAGGTCGG